TGATCTTGCGATGCACTTTGGGTGCATAAACCTTATTAATTTTTGCATTTCTTTGATCATTGTCAACTTCTTCAATCAAATCAAGCCATTTTTCATCATCTTACAAGCATACAATAAAAGAATTCACTGAAAGTACAATTGGTTCACGAGAAGGGGTAGATAAGATTATAAGAAATAAATTGTATTGCATACTTTTGATCCATTGATATTCTTTTTGTGTATGTACTATTAATAAATATGTAATTTTTAAACTTTTAAAACAAATTTTAAATCTGCACTATCCATAAAGAAGGATCGAATGAAACATTAAGGTATTTGGCAAGGTATTAAGTATTTCATTTCTCAATGAATGTATTTTATTCTTAACAAACACCCAAAACGTACTATTAAAGTTATTTAGAAAATACGACAACTTTAAAGGGCTCTACTTTTTAAAGCAGGCAACTAACCATCACCAAATTTTGCTTGACAGTAGAATAGCATGTGGATATGATGTGGAATAAAAATTACTGATGTGTCTGTATGGCTTCCGTAAAAATGTTTCCAATAAAGATGATGTATATTTCGCGTCTTCAGAAACACATAATTAGACATTTTGCTGTGCCATAACACATTACTGGTTGCAGATACAAAGATGAAAGTGCAATATTTGAAATCTCCACATACAAATACATCTTTGTGCATATTTTGATGGATATACCATGTACGGGTATGAAGTTACAGGTCAAAATGTAAAATAGGGTAATGGTGAATTTAGCACTGGCCACGCCCACTTTTCTGCTTTTCAGGCCATATTTCGAATTGCGATATCTCAAAAACTATTGCAGCTACGATGCTCAAATTTTGAACTTAAACTATTCCCACACAATGTTAACTGCCTGCGAAATATAAAGAAATTTGGAGAGGGTGGGTGTCAAATCAGGTTTTTTTGTGTTGAAATGGCATGGAATTACTCTTATGCAATTTTACTCGTCAAGGGGAGAGTGTCGACACTCAATGAGTGAAAGAGTAGAGTAGACTAAAAACACATCAATAAAATATTTATTGCATTTACATCAAGTGGAGTTTGTTATAACAATCTTGGCAAATAGAAAAAAAAACATATTGTAGCTCCATAATGCATGCATCAAATAGTGAATACTGTATGAATAAAGCAAGCGATAAACTGGCAAATTTATGGTAAATTCTGAGTTCTATTTCTGCATTTTTAAAAGACAACAAGTGTTTCTAGAAACTACACAGGGCTTGAAATAACATTCCCAAGATTCCTGATCATGGTGATCACCAGTCAAGACTTTGCCTGCTTTTTCAGATCGAAAACCCTGCTTTTCCATAGATCATAAACAATTTCCTGCTGATCATTGATCAGTTGTTATTTCAAGCCCTGCTATATCAAACTGAAGGTTCTAGAGATAAAAATGTTCATAGCATTAAGTTCACTTCAATCATCATCAAGGACCACGACTACTGGTTCGTCTTTTTCACCATTTGTCTCCCCCAAAACTTTCAAATTTTCACCATCATCATCATCGATTACCATCACAGGTGGTTCAGAATTTGAATCTTCATCTTCTGACAAAGCATCAACGTCGATAACAGTTGCCGGTTCCAACCTACGCTCTGATTCTTCTGGAACTAAACTACCATTCGCATGAAACAAAACCTGACGTTCGTTATCATCATTTTGTAACTCGTTATCATCTGTTAAGTCTATCCGAGCATGCTTTGGGGTCAATTCGGGATCATCGCTAAAAGACTCACTAGCCTTTCTCTTCCTGTTTGAATCTTTATTCACTTCTTTCACTTCCTCATTAACCACTTCATCCATTATTACCTCGTTAGCATCTTTACCTTCCATTATCTCGTTAGCAACTTCATTCACTGTTCCATCCTTTTCCTCGTCAGCTTTCTCAATATCTTGTAGGATTTTAAATTCCTCGTCATCAGCCATATTGCTACAATTAACAATGTTCAATACAAGTTCATAATTCTGATGAAAATCATCAATTTTCAAACGAGAACCATTGGTTATTCCAAAATCTGACAAGAACTTCAAGTTATTTTGATCAGTTTCACCTTCCTCACTTGAAATTAAAATTGTCCCCTTGCCATCTTCAATTTCCACATCAGGTGCGATGACACCAAACTGTTGTTTAAGTAGCTTATCTTCTAACGATTTCACTGTGACCTTACTACAATCCATCATCACTTTAGCTTCTGGTTTCGTCGAACAAACGTAGCACTTTGGATTTGGTGCGACAAGAGGCGATGGTTGCAACAATTTCTTCCGAACCGATGGCTTCTTGTTCAGATATACTGTCTGACAATTCGCAATATCTCCTTGCAGGGCTTTCAGAGCTTCCAAAACGATAAGACCAGAAATAACAGCGTTTGTTGTCGCGATCGCTGGGATGATGTTGCCAGCCATGGACTTCACATCAAAACGACTCTTCTGTGGGATATCAAAAATATGGGAACGAATGTTACTTGCAGAAACAACAAAGTCTAACGAGGCATCGTCATCCTTATCCCAGACCAAAAAATCTCCTTTTTTCGTTAGCTCATCCTTCAATAGTTCAACACATCTGTGGAACTTTTCAATACATTCCTTGATTGTCCAAATTTTTTGATCCGGCAAACCGTTCTCGTTATCCGGTAACAAACTCTCGTTAAGATTCTCAATATCTAATGGAACTGGTGCTTTTCTTTCTTTCCACAGCTTGTCCATAGACAACAAATACTTAATGTCCTCAATAAAAAACTTCTGAACAAGTTTGGTAGGCTCATATCCGATGCTCTTTGCCCAATCTTGCGTTGAAACACGTTGTAGCTCATCATTTGAAGAATTGTTAGCCACAGCGCCAGCATCACCGACCGCTTCAGGGTCTTCGGCATCCGGGGAAACCTCTTCGTCTGCGTCAGCTTCGCCAAACAGTTGGTTAAACAGATGCTTTGCCCAGACAATGCAATGGATTGGTTCTGATGGCGTGTTTCGTATTGTACACCCAGGGAACGACTTTTGGTGGGGTTTGGGTTGACACTCGTAACATTCCGTCACGCCTTTTTGGATAACTGTCACTTGACCGAGGTAACCCGCCGTACCGCTTTCAACCAATGGCACACCAGCGGCTAGACACATCCGGTTCACATGATTCCTTGCGACTCGGTTATCCAAAGCATTCAAAACGACCGAAAACTTTTTAAAGAAGTTAACGTCATAATCTGGGCTAGTGATGCTATCGTGGTACGCCTTGATTTTCGCTTCAGGATTGAACTCGATCGCACTTTCACGTGCTACATTCGCTTTAGACTTGCCGACATGTTGTTTTTGGAACAAAAATTGTCGGTTCAAATTGCTCACATCGATCGTGTCTAAATCAATGACTTCTATATCGTTGAAACCGGTTAGAACGAGTGTTTTAAGCAGTTCACAACCAATTCCGCCGGCTCCAACTACTAATACCTTACAATTCTCGAGTTTTTCGTATAAATTTTGGCCCAAATTGCCAGATTGAATTTCCCCAAAAGTAGCCATGTTTTCAGCGCGTGTTTGGCTGCATGCTTTCGAGATTCGAGTTGCCTCGCGTGGGGTAACGTATTCGTGGAGTACACGCGTGGGAATAGCAGCGCAATTTATTCCATGGTATTTTACAGTGAAACAACCTCAAGCAAAATGCCCTGGGTACGAGGTTGACAGTGAAAATTAATTGCTGTTTCGAGAAGGCTGTTTTCCACCGGGCAGAGCGAAACTTTTTTTTGTTTGATGAGCTCTCAAGCGGAACTAGTGAAAAAGACAAAGAAAAATTCGCGTGGAAAATTCCGCCTACTCGAAAACTGGCTCTTGCATTTTGGTTTGTTGATAGGAATGATAGCCAAAATTTCAGGCTAGTAGCTCTTAATCCACGGTTTCTTTATCATTTTATGTCATGTCGATTTTTACATGTACTCTTATACATTTATTCGAAACCACAACGTAATATTGCATAATTAAGTTTGTAACAGGTGGTGGGCAGGTCTTTCGTAATGTCGTATCATCTTACAATCAACAAATCTTTCGACTGTGATTCGTATGCATATATGCGGTAAGAAAATCTAAATATTATCAGTCTAGAATGTTCTTTAGCTAATATAACAAAGATAGAAAGATATATAGATTAAACTTGATGGACTTTCGACAAAACAGTCTCGTTTTTGTGTCTAATATCGTTGATGGGAAATCCTATATAATATGTTGTTGCCAATCAATTGATTTGTTTTGATAGTTTATAGCGGAAATCACCGTAATTAATCTATCAAAGCTTCGTAAGAGATTTCAGGCGATTAAATTTGTCTTTGTTACAATAGAATGGCCTCACCGACTTTGAATATTGGAGAATTACAAGACGTGGAGTTGAATACGTTTCACACGGGGACAGACTTACACACAGCCGCGGTAAATGGCGATAAACTAACTATTGAAAAAATTTTAAAGCAAGATGGTGATATTGACACGCTCAACAAAGGGGATAAATACGGTCGAACAGCCTTGGTTTATACAGTCTCTGGGGATTGGTACGAATGCGCAGAAATCTTAGTTGCTCATGGAGCGAGTTTGTTACAGACTGACTGTGATAAACGCAATGTACTACATTGGGCTGCCTATTTAGATCGGCCGAAGTTCATAAAATTGTTCCTGGAACATTTGGGTTCAAATTTGGAATTTAATTTTGGCGATAAAGACGGCAGAACAGCATTCCATTATGCCGCTGCGCTACCAAATTCCAAATGCCTGCGTTTGTTATTGAAACGTTCAACGTTGAACAAAAGGAATCTAAATACGACGGATAATGAAAAAATGACGGCATTACACTGGAGTGTATTTTATAACCGTTTGGAGAACTTTAAAATTCTCCTACGCGAGGGCGCAGAAACGACTAAACGCGACGGGAAAGGACGGTGTTTACTACACATGGCGGTGCTAAATCCTAGCGCAGACTCTGTACGAATCGTGCGCATTTTGTTAAAACATAATCGGCATTTTTCGATTCAATTTGATTGCGAGAAACATACGTCACTTCATCTGGCCGTTGCCAGTGGCAACCAGGAGTTAGTGCGCGAATTATGTTTGGCAGAGGAGTCTGCGTTAAATTGTCTTGATCATCTATCTCGTGGTGTTTTACACTATGCCGTCCTAAATAATGACATTGAGATTATTGATATTCTAATATCTGCTGGAGTATCACCCCACCATGTAGATAGTACAGGAGCGAGTGTTTTACATTACGCGGCTAAAAATAACAATGCGCAAATTGTGAAACGTTTCCTGGAACGTTTTAAAAACTTTGAAGACACTAGCGATAATCAAGGACGGACTGCACTCATGTGGGCTGCAAGCGAAGGTTCCTACGATGTCCTCAATTTAATGTTAAAAAATTTGAGCCATTTTAATATTCACGCGAGTGACGAACAGGGCATGACAGCATTACATGTTGCATGCTTTGCCGGCCATGAAGAATGTGTAAAAAAACTAATCGCAAACTCAGCCGATATTACCCAGCCGGATAAGCTCGGTCAGACAGCGTTATTCAAGGCCTGTGCGCAAGGTCACCACAAAATTATTGGTATTTTAATGGATAGAAAAGGATCCCATGGGAATACAATGGGGCCATATTTGTCTTCTATCCAAGAAGAATCAGTTGTATCCCAAGATACCCTAAAAAACTCTGAATGGTCGCACGAGCCAACTGAATATTTGATTAATGGGGCTGAATGCAAAAAAGATGAGAGGGAGAATTTAGTTTCCATAGACAAGGGGGCTTTTCCCGGGAATTGTACATCTGACAGTTTAAAACCTGAGAAGAAAAATCGTCCTCTTATGAAATACCGGATCAATGAAAAACACCCTCGGGTAATTTGTCTGACTGTTCATCCGAAAGATTGCCAGGTATTCATGAGTTAGAGGATGAAAATGGGTGCACCCCCCTGCACTTTGCTGCTCATGCAGGTCACACGCATGTGTGTAGTTGGTTACTAAGTGAGGGAGTGAACCCAGGAAAGAAAGACTCACAGGGTCGTACAGCCCTACATGGGGCCGCTTTTAATGGACACACTGAATGCATAGCGTTAATGTTGTCACATGACCCACACTTAGTCAACGACCGTGACTACGATGGCTACTCGTTGTTGCATCATGCAGCAAGCAATGGTCAATTAGAGACTGTCAAACTCCTCGTCTCTGAAACCTTTCAGACGTGTTTGAATGCTCGTTTAATGTCCACGGACTGGACGCCATTGGATTTTGCAATGGCCGCTGACCACCAAGATGTGACGCAATTTCTGATGGATAACGGAGCGCTGACGACAGCTTGGCTCCAGGACGCTGCGGCCGACAAAATCAAAAAGTTTTTGAGACGTCTAGTTGTACGGAAACACGAGGCAACGGTGAAGCCGTTGATCGAAAGACATAAACAGTTAACAAAGGAGGAACAGTTAAAACATTGTGAAAACGAGGATAAAAACAGGAACGATGATCTCATATACGGCAATATGACACACGAAGATGTCGCGCATAACATTGTTGATGACGTCACACATGATTACGTCATTCATGATGACGTCACACACGGTATTATTGTTTGTGACGTCATCAATAAGAGAGACTACACTGTTGATGGTCATGAAAAAGACGATGACATTGAGCAACAATGTGCCGAAGAAACAAAGGAAAATCAGAACAGACAAGCAGCGAGGTCGGAGGACGCCGTGCATTTCAAGAGATCAGAGGATCAACCGCTTACGACAGATCACGATCAATTGCGAACATTGACGGAAAATGAGAACATAATGCATTCTGACCAAAAATCGGATAAGAATCGGTCTACGACAGACGACGATCATTTAGAAACATTTGCGAGCCTGTTTGGCGAAACTGAAATACGTGATAACGGTAAGCATATTTTGTTGCTAGATGCTTGTTACCATGGTGACATAACAGGTGTTCAAAAGTTACTACAGGAGAATCTTGACGTGAATTACCGCGACCAGCGTGGTTGCACTGCTTTGCATTTGGCAGCTGCCCAAGGGCAGGACGCGATTTGTGAATATTTACTAGAAAACGGCGCGGAAACACGCGTGCGGAATATAAATGGAAGAACTGCCCTACATCATGCAGCAATAGCTGGCAACGTTAGCGCTGTGTCACTGTTGTTACGTCATAACAAAGATCTTATATCGTACTTAGATTGTGACAACAGAAGCGCTTTACATTACGCAGCTAGCTTGGGACATCTCGATGCAGTGAAGTTATTAATAGACAGTCGTGTCCAGGACGTCTGCGCGAAATCAACACAACTCACCGCATTAGATTGCGCAATTCTTGGACAGCATGATGACGTAAACGAATATATGATTAGCCAAGGCCTGCAACCTAGCGGGTTGTTGGATCAGGCTGCGCGGGTTATTCAGATAAACTTTCGTAAGTCGTTAGAACGAAAAGGAATTTCAGTGGAATCTCGTGGAAAACCTATCAAAGGTACGGAAAAGGGTTTGATAAATAATGAAAATAAGTCGAAAGACGGTGAAACTAGCGGCCCCACTGTAATAAATAATGAAAACCCCTCAAAAACCTGCCAAGAAAACACATACGTCTCTGTAAACAAAACACTTTCGGATATACAAACAAAATATATTTATACTACGCCAAAAACAGATAAAAAATCCAGACCCACGGATTGTAATCCGACCAAGAGATTATCTGAAAATTTCTCAGAGGGGATTAACTCAAATTATGAGACGGATTATGATTATTCAAGGACAGCTGTCAATAACGTAATCTATTCCAAATATTCGCGAGAATCCAGGATTAAAACCTCTTCTAGTGCGCGAAGTAGGGGGACAACGTTTGCTGAATCAAATGTAGAAAAACTCTCGCGCGCGCCTGACTGCGTCATCGTAGCGAGCGGTGAGAAAGAGCGAATATTTAAATTGCGCGATAATTGGGAACGGATTGCGCTACTTCGACGCAAAAAACAGGCAGCGCTTGTCATACAGAAACATTTTAGGAAGCATATGGTAAGAAAGAAAGCTGATAATCAAAATGCCACTAAAGAATTCAAAGCGGAGATAAAAATAAAAGACAATACCAACACAGAATGCGCTGTAATAACATTGACGCAAAACGGTACACGCAATTTGGGAATAGATAATGAGAAAAACGGAAAAAACTTGCCTTTTAAAACAGTAATAATCTCTAATTCGCCAACAAAACTTAGCAGAAATAGGACAACGGACAGTGATAAGGCGAAAGAGAGTCAAACAAATCAAGTTCGATTAAGTCAGAATAAAGTTGAGACAAGTTCTGGTGTTTACAGCAACGAACCTACGTCCCCGAAAAGGCTGACTCGGAAAACCGTCGTAAATCGACTACGAACGACATCGCCCGAATATAGCTCTTCGGAAAACGAACCTTTGCACGAGAAACGTCAATACAAGAGCGCTTTCCCGCTTCTGTCTCCAACGTCTAGTGCCACGTCATCTAACCGGTCGCCTAGCAACCAGGGTGTGATTCAACTGCCTAACAACAGACGTCCGTCGCATAGCAACAGACGTGTTGAGGCACCGATATCTCCGAAATCTAGTTCAACGTCATCGAACCAGTCGCCTAGCAACGCACCTGTAAACCAGCTGCCTAGCAACAGACGTGCTAATTCGTCGCCTAGCAACAGACGTGTTGACGTAGCACCGATATTGAGTAAAAACGAGTTAGTTAAGCGATGGCTTTCTGACGAGCTGATTAGCGAAAATGCAAGTAATACAAAAACTACAAATAAAACGAAAAATATAGAAGTTGAAGTATCGAACTCGGAGCCACGGTTAAGAAAAACGGATCCTTCAAAAGGTGCTCGGAGACTCTCGACACATTCCGCCCGCATTCGGAGAAACTCGCTGATTAAGAATGCGTACGGCTCGCCAGCAGCACTTTCGTATAACTTTGCTTTAGATACGTATCATCCGCTGGTATCACGACGCGGGCGCAAGGAGACCGCGTTTCCATTTCGAACTAGCAGCAGAGTGAGACCGAACAGCATGAAGCGAGTGGAGGTGGGCTGGGTGCGCACAGCAGACATTGCCCCGGGGTCTACCCCTAGTGAGTCTTGAGGTTTTATATCACTGGAATATTCAATAGCAGTTAAGCATCAAACAAGGAACATAATCAACTGTATGTGCAGTGGCGAAGCTAGACATGGCAACTGGTCATGCTGTGCTTATAATCCTGTGTTTATATAATTTAAAGTCAATACATTTCCAGGTTTGAATAATGAAAATCATTAAAAATAGCATGACCTGTTGTTATGGCTAGCTTTGCCACAGTCTATGTGATAGACTATCCGCTATATTTAATAATTGACCAGCTGCAAGCCTGTAATAGATACCAAATTTCGCTTGTGTGCTACATAAACAATAGTTTGGCCTCGAGACTGACACTGTGATTGCATTTACACCCGTTTTCAAAATTACGCGACCTCCCTGAAAAATACTCTTACTTCGAATGTCAGTTTTATGTCACAAAAACTGCTAAAAATAGCAAACGTAAACAAACTGTCAAAAGACATTTTAAACCGTATTTAATACCAAAACTGAACAAAAATGAGTTAGATAACTTAGATATACAAACTAAAGCACAATACAAACCATCACAACAGAAATATGTGCCGTGAATAACTTTTAAAGTTTGAAAAATAACAATTTATCCTGGAATTTAGCTGTCAGTATAAAACACGCGCGCTAGACTATAACGGTGATGTTATGATTTTGTTTGTGCTTAAATTTTGCAATAATTCTCACTAAAATATCTTGAAAATCATTGTAAGCCTGTTTATATAAAGCATACAAAGCATATACATCGACAAGGAACCGCAAAACTCAAATTTAAACTTCGTGACCGAATGACATAAAACTGACATGTCATCTCTAGCATTTTCGTCCTTGGTCGCGTAATTTTGAAAACGTATGTAAGGTCTAGCTTTTATAAAGACATCAGCGAGCTTAATCGTTTTGTTCGTGTCATATTTCGGCGGTTAAACAATATTTACTTATTTTATGTGCCTTAGATAAAAGTTGTGTTGTCTAAGTGCGCTCTAGGATAAATATAAATGCCTTGAAAAAAGTAAAAATGAGAAAATATTAACGATTTTTAAGCTGTGTTTTTCGCATCCATTTTGTAAAAAGGACTGGGGCTACCTGCAGAAAACACTCATAACCGGCTTCAAAGATGGCGGCCAACTTATCACTCCAGTTTACTTATAGTTCAATGCGTTTTTGTCAACACGGACGTCACCCGAAAATTGGTAGAACTAATTTTGGCGGTATTTTGCATCATGTCGTTCCTGTAGGGAAGCAAAAAATTTACGTTTTGTCATATATGTTGAAGATTACCACAAACTGATACAAATACAGTTTTTAATCCAGTACCCCCCCCCCGGCAATCTTGACGTCTGTGTTGATAAAAATATCGCGTTTTTAACCTTGCTATTGGTGAACTGGGGCATGTTGTCAACACGACGTGTTCACACTGCTTGTTCTTAGCTTGTTGACAACTTGTTACAAGGTTGTTGAGCTCAACAGAGATGTTACAAGTTGTGAGTGACAACCTTGTAGCAACTTGATAAAATAACAGCATTGTTACAACTTGTTGACAAGCTTGCTACAAGCTTGTTGCGAACACATCTTGTTGACAAGTTGTGAGATTTTTACGTGTGTAGTGTAATATAAGAGCGATGAAATTGTATTAAAACAGTATAACAAGTCTCCGGCCCAGAACAGAATTTCAAAGTAATATTTAAAAACATTTTATATGCATACGTTTCTTTAATTGAACTTTATTTGTGTTAAGATGATGAATTATGAATCACAAAAGAACACAGTTTGATGTCTATGGCTATGCCTAGTTGCACGATTTAATCATCTTTCTAACAAAATATCAATGTTCATTATCAGAAGCGAAACTATGATCATACGATTTAGTGTCTGTTCTGTCAAAAACCAACATTTGGTGGAAATGTTGTATTACTTTAATACTATACTTGTTTGAAAGCTTGGAACATAAATAGAAGAGAGATGAAATTGTATTAATATAACATGCCTTCCCAGAACAGAATTTCCAAGTAATATTTTAACACATTCTATGCATATTTTCTTTAATTCAAGTTTGGTTCCGCTAAAATGATCTCTTACGACTCACAAAAGAACACAGTTTAATGTCGCTATTATCTGAAGTGGTCTTGTGATTTAACCACACATCATCACGTTTTCATTATGAGCAAGTAAACTACAAGACAAGCTCTTTAAAATCTGTCTTTCAAACAAACATATCAAAACTTTTTCTTCACTCTGTTTCGAAGAGAAATGGCGAGGAGACGTTCATTCGGCGGATATGAAGAGGACAGGTTTGAAAACGAAGTAGACAGTGCATTACTGTGCACTACTTGTAGAAACGTCTTAAAAGACCCAGTCCATTGCCCGAATGAACATTATTGCTGCCGCTCGTGTATTGTAAAGCATTTGCACGAAAACTTCGAAAGGTGTCCGATGTGTCAACACCATCTGACGGAAGAAACTTTGAGCAAACCACCGAGAGTTTTGACGAATATGTTGCAGAACCTCAAGATTCGGTGTGATCACGCCAAACGCGGTTGTCGAGAATTGATCAAGCTTGAATTTCTTGATCGCCATGTCAAGAGCTGTGGCTATTCACCAACACGTTGTACAAACCCTGGCTGTCCTCAAGTCATCAACCAACACGAAAAAGAACGCCATGAGAATGAACTTTGTCGTTTTCGTATGGTTGTTTGTGACGATTGTAAGCAACAAATGTCAGGCAAGTCAAGTCGTGTTCATCCCTGCTTCATGAGGAAAGAAATGGACCATTTAGTCAAAGATATGAGGGAAGTCAAGGATGAAGTAAAGCAAGTGAAGCTGACTCAAGAGGAGTTTATTCGAGATCTGATAGACCAAGTTGCCAGACAAAATGATGTCGTTGATGATCTATGCCACAGAATGAATAACATGAAAGCAGAAATGGAGTGGAATGCAAAGGAAGCAAGCGAACGATGTGATTTGTTCACAGGTAGATCAAAAATTTTCGTTTGTGGAGGGATAGATGTATACAACCTTAATTCCGTAGAGTCGTACAGCTGGCCCGAGAATTCCTGGACTGTGGAACCAGCAATGAAGGAGGCACGATCAAACCCTTCAGCATTTGTCCACGAGCGGCAAATGTATGTCAGTGGCGGATGGACTGGGACCAAGGCCACTGACAGCATTGAAAGCATGAATGTTGCCGAGGAAAACATAGAATGGATTCAGTCTCCTCTCAAGATGCAAATTAAGTGTCAAGGACACAAAATGGTTTCTCACGAGAACAGTGCGATTTTAACTGGTGGATTTGAAGGTGGCAATGTTTCAGACGGGATTTACGAAATGAAACTAAATCCTCCATACACTACCAAATTATTAACCCAGATGCCAGAACCAAGATGCGGCCATGGTTGTCATATTATTGACAACCAGGTTGTGGTTGTTGGCGGAAGTACATCAAGATACCTTGGCAACGACGTTAAAAACACTGTGTACGTATATGATATGAACAATAATGAATGTAAAACCTTACCACCACTGCCGTTTCCTATCACTGATATGGCTAGTGTTAGTTATAAAGGTAATGTAATTTTGATCGGAGGTTTTAATAACAAAGCTCAAACATTAAACAGTGTAGTAATGTATGATGTGAAAACAGGGAAAATTAAAATGTTGCCTTGTCTTAATTCTAAAAGAGCAGCAAGTACAGCAGTTATCACTAGCAATGTTATCATTGTTATGGGTGGGTATGATCATGAAACTAAAACATGTCTCAATTCTGTAGAGTGTTTAGATTTAAGTAGCAATGTATGGAGAGAACTGTCGCCAATGCCAACTAAACGAAGTGGTGCAACTGCAGTTGTAAAACCAATTTCATAGAATGTATCAACTAAACTTTGAAACGTAATCCTATACAATAATATCATAATTTTGTTCAGTTTGTGACGTATACTTAATGACCGCGTATAATCAATGTAGATAGATAAATCAAAGACTGTTATTTTGCCACTTAATCCATAATAAAATGATACCGTTGTCAGTTGAAAAATAGATTTTGTAGACCTCGTCTTAGAGTTTCTCTCCTCATAATGAAAGAATAAAATGGCGTGATTTATGTGTGAATGTGATTATATCATATAAAGATTATCTCAGATAGCATCGATATCAAACCTTGTTCTTTTGTCAGTCATACAGATGTTTTAGCGCAATTAAAGGAAAATATGCATAAAATGTGTCTAAATGTTACTTGAAAATTCTGTTCTCAGAAGCTTGTCATGTTATTACGAATTCATCTCTTTCAAACTGTGCTCCAAGCTTACAAGAATAGTGTTGGAACAAGTTTAGGTGTTGGTATTTTTGACAGGGAAGACGTCGTATTGAAATCATTCACAGTTTCACCTCGGATAATAAACAGAGCCGTGCCGGCATATTTTGCAATTTGCTAGATAGATGATTAAAGACATTAAATCACGCAACGAAGCGAGACATCAACCTGTGTTCTGTTGTAAGTCATCATACAAAGCTACTAGTCATGCCTATTCAGTGGCGCTTTAATCCAGTGTCATTATTGAGATCAACGGATCTGATAAAAAAAAACATCTTCTCCCAAAGTACGCCTTGCCCCAGTCTCTCAAATACGCGACTCTATGAGGCTCTATGGCCAAGGTGATGAGAAGGATGTAGTTACAACATGCAGATGATCTTGATACGCGGAAAAGTACTGGCACTAGTTGTCAAATAGAAATCCATTTTATGATTAAAACAACTGAATATCTCCTGTAATATACTTTATTTCGATTCCATATTTTTGTCAGAGCTATAGTTCTCATAGCCAAACATAATTACAAAATTTCAACTAGTTTCATAAAGAATAACGAAAGATATAATTGACTGAATACATCAAAATGGATTTCTATTCGGACAACCCTTTCTGAGCGCTGATTGGCTAAAATACGAACACGAGATCACCTGGATAGCGTAAAAGAGATGAAATTGTATTAATATAACAAGCTTCCCAGAACAGAATTTCCAAGTAATATTTTAACACATTTTACGCATAATTTTGCTAATTATTATAATATGTAATTATCGTCACTCGTCTGAGCTGTTGGAATCCCCGTGCCTACGTTAATAAATAAGCCCATAGGCTTATACATGGAGGGGCTTATATTCGGAATGGCCTGAATTGCGAATGCCTCGCAAGTGGTAACCGTGGTGACGCAATGGTGTAAGTGATATTATTTTGAAGAGGTGGTGTGATGTATGATGCAATAGTCTCATGACGCGCATACTACTTCCTGTCTTCGCACGCAGCTATGCGTGGGCACAGATTAAATAATATAAAGATTGTGTATATATCGTGACTTCAGTTAGTCTAATGATGGTTTTGAAATAAAATGGAAATATCACAAACTCATTCTCGTCTTTGTTTTCACTCATATCTTCAGTTTCAAGATGTTAATCTTTGGATTACATTTTGTCTTATGCGACTTTGGCGATTTTGATTTCATTTTGAGATTTTTGGCGTATGATCAAAATGTAACCAAGCACGCGTGGGCGGCATACCTTGCAAGAGGTGACGCAATGGTGTAAGTGATATTTTTTTGAAGAGGTGGTCTCACTGGTCTGATGTATCAGTGGCGTGGAGATTAGGCCGAAATTTTCGGTAACCACTGAGTAATCTAATAAAATACAACACAACGGAAACTGCGAAGAAAAATATGAATTTCTTCGGAATTTCCATTGTATTGTATTTTGTTTGATGTATGGTGCAATAGTCTCGTGACACGCATACTACCTCCTGTCTCGCACGTAACTCTGCGTAGCAGACCAGTGATACGGTATAACGACACATCATCACAGTATTTCCTTTCAGAACCAACAAAGAAATTCTGTATAACACAAGCTCTTTAATTAAAATCTGTCTTTCAAACAAACATATCAAAAGCGTAGTTACAAAAGCGAACGTTTTCTCCAGTCTGTTTCGAAGAGAAATGGCGAGGCGACGTTCATTCGGCGGATATGAAGAAGAAAGATTTCAAAACGAAGTAGACAGTACATTACTGTGTCCTATTTGTAGAAACGTCTTAAAAGACCCAGTCCAATGCCCAAATGAGCATTATTGCTGCCGCTCGTGTATTGTAAAGCATTTGCACGAAAACTCCGAAACGTGTCCGACGTGTCAACAACATCTGACGGAAGAAACTTTGAGCAAACCACCGAGACTTTTGACGAATATGTTGCACAACCTCAAGATTCGGTGTGATCACGCCAAGCGCGGTTGTCAAGAATTGATGAAGCTTGAATTTCTTGATCGCCATGTCAAGAGCTGTGGCTATTCACCAACACGTTGTACAAACCCTGGCTGTTCTCAAGTCATCAACCAACACGAGAAAGAACGACATGAGAATGAACTTTGTCATTTTCGTATGGTTGTTTGTGACGATTGTAAGCAACAAGTGTTACGCAAGTCAAGTCGTGTTCATCCCTGTTTCATGAGGAAAGAAATGGACGATTTAGTCAAAGATATGAGGGAAGTGAAGCTGATTCAAGAGGAGTTTACTCGGAATCTGATGGACCAAGTTGCCAGACAAAATGATGTCGTTGATGATCTATGCCACAGAATGAATAACATGAAAGCAGAAATGGAGTGGAATGCAAAGGAAGCAAGCGAACGATGTGATTTGTTCACAGGGAGATCAAAGATTTTCGTTTGTGGAGGGGGTGATGGTAAATACGCCCTTAAATCCGTAGAGTCATTCAGCTGGCCCGAGAATTCCTGGACATTGGAACCAGCAATGAAGAAAGGACGATCAGGCCCTTCAGCATTTGTCCACGAGCGGCAAATATATGTCAGTGGCGGATGGACTGGGGCCGAGTACATCGACACTATTGAAAGCTTAAATGTTGACGAGGAAAACTTAGAATGGATTCAGTCTCCTCTCAAGATGCCAATTAAGTGTCAAGGACACACAATGGTTTCTCACGAGAACAGTGCGATATTAACTGGTGGACTTGACGGTGACAATGCTTCAGATGGGATTTACGAAATTAAACTAAATCCTCCATACACCTCCAAATTATTAACCCAAATGCCAGAGCCAAGATATAAACATAGTTGTCATATTATTGACAACCAGGTTGTGGTTGTCGGAGGAAGGACATCAAAATACCTCGCTGGCGCTAAAAACACTGTGTACGCATATGACATGAACAATAATGAATGTAAAACCTTACCACCACTGCCATTTCCTATCACTAATATGGCTAGTGTTAGTTATAAAAGTAATGTAATTTTGATCGGAGGTATTAATGAGAAAGGTCAAACATTAAACAGTGTAGTAATGTATGATGTGAAAACAGGAAAAATTAAAATGTTGCCTTGTCTTAATCATAAAAGATCAGGAAGTGCAGCAGTTATTACTGGCAATGTTATCATTGTTATGGGCGGTCGTGATTATGAAACTGTAGCATTTCTCAATTCTGTAGAGTATTTAGATTTAAGTAGCAATATATGGAAAGAACTGTCACCAATGGAAGCTAAGCGACGCAAGGCAACTGCAGTTATTAAACCAATTTCATAGAATGTATCAATTGAACTTTGTGACAAAAATGTTTAAGCATACTAACGTAATCCTACAGAATAATATCATCATTTTGTACAGTTTGTGGGATATGCTTAATGATGTATAATCAATGCAGATATATAAGATATATAAAACAAAGGCTGATGTTTTTACTATTTAATCCATAATAAAATGTGTTGTCCAAACAATATCTCACCTTTCCTCAAACTAACTTCTACACAATGGTTACGTCTATCAGTTCTAAACTGTTCTTCCTAAAGGTCCAATAAGGATCATCTCTTATTGATCCAGTGTTACTACAGGAGGAAACCTAAACTAAACTAACTTTATTTATACTGGATAGCTTTATCAGTTCTAAACTGTTCTTCCTAAAGGCCCAAGTAAGGATCATCTCTTATTGATCCAGTGTTACTACAGGAGGAAACCTAAACTAAACTAACTTTATTTATACTGGATAGCTTTATCAGTTCTAAACTGTTTTTCCTAGAGGTCCAGTAAGGATCATCTCTTATTGATCCAGTGTTACTACTGGAGGAAACCTAAACTAAACTAACTTTATTTAGTATACTGGATACCTCTATCAGTTCTAAACTGTTCTTCCTAGAGGTCCAGCAAGGATCATCTCTTATTGATCCAGTGTTACTACAGGAGGAAATCTAAACTAAACTAACTTTATTTATACTGGATACCTCTATCAGTTCTAAACTGTTCTTCCTAGAGGTCCAGCAAGGAACATCTCTTATTGATCCAGTGATACTACAGGAGGAAACCTGAACTCAACTAACTTTATTTATAGTGGATAGATTTATACGAGGTGAAATTATAGTCCGAGAACTACATAGAAACGACATAGTTCGTTTGCAAATCACTATTTTTGATATCGTTGTTGAAGAATAGATGGTACTGATAGACCTCGTCTTAGAGTTTCCCTCCTCATAATGAAAAAATAAAATAGCGTGAGATGTGTCGTTATATCATATAAAGATTATCTCAGATAGCATCGGTATCAAACCTTGTTCTTTTGTCAGTCATAGAGATGCTTTATCGCAAACAAATTGCTTCAATTAAAGGAAAATATGTCAAAAATGTGACTAAATATTACTTGGAAATCCTGTTCTCGGAAGCTTGTCATGTTATTACGATTGCATCCCTTTCAAGCTATGCTCCAAGCTTTTAAACAAGAAGTGTTAAACTGTACAAGTTTAAATGTTGGTACTTTTGGCAGAGAAGACACAGTATTGAAACCATTCACAGTTTCACCTTGGATAATAAACAGAGCCGTATTTTGCAATTTTCTAGATAGATGATTAAAGACATTAGATCACGCAACGAAAGCGAGACATCAACCTGTGTTCTTTTTTCTTATTTATTTATTTATTTATTTAGCTTCGCCTTGACAAAAAACGTACATAATACAAGCACAACAATTCATATACACGAGACATAAAAAGAGGCGGGGACACCACAACAGTTTACACCAATTACTGTGGGCCCTTTAGTTAGAATTAGTGACAAAATACAGAGGACAAAAAAATCAACTAATTAGTCTAGTAGCAACAGGGATCGGCATCGATTAGATTACGCGATGTGTTGCACTTCAGGCAAACAGTTTTCCAGATTCGAGCATCATCCACGTCGTAACAAGATACAAGGGCATTATGGTAGTATTCTAATAGTGACTTTTTAAATAACGTTAGAGATAAATGATCTAGTCTTAAGCCCGTTCTCCACTAGGCGAATTTATTCGCGCGAACAGATAAAAAGTAGGAAGCGATCCTACTTTTTCACCGCGAATTTTTTCGCCGACCAATCACGTTGCCGGATTTCGGTGTTCGCTTCGCGTCGCGCGAACAAATTCGCGTAGTGGAGAACGGGCTTTAAGTGTTCGGGTAAGGAGTTCCAGGTTCTAGTTGCTCTAATAAAAAATGACCGTTGATAGGTGGCTGTCTTACATCTACGAGGACGGTACGAGATAACACTGTTATTGGAAGATGATCGAGTAGGCCTTGAGGGAGTAGATCGTTTTGGCAAGATTTCCTTCGGAACAGTTATAATACCATTTATGGCCTTAAAAAAGAACATCAAGTCAAGATACTCATGCCAATAAGAGACTGGTAACAGATTTATAGACATCAGTCTGTCTTTGTAGGATTCTGTACACGTGAAGGGCAGCTTAAGGATAAATTTCGAAGCTCGACGTTGAACGCGCTCTGACTTTCTGACTAGTTCAATTGACTGCGGTGACCAGACTTGTGTGGCGTAGCCTAATGCAGGACGCACAATTGCCAGGTAGAGCGTGCGGCGGGTGTTTGGATTTTCGACTTCCACAGCAGATCTGCGCAGGAAGCCAAGCAACTTGTTAGCCTTAGCACAACGGTCAAAGGTGTGTTTGCTTTTGTAAGTCATAATACAAAGCTACTAGTCATGCTATTCAGTGGCGCTTTAATCCAGTGTTATTATTGAGATCAACGGAGCTGATCAACAAACATCTCCTCCCAAAGTACGCCTTGCCCCAGTCTCTCAAATACGCGGCTCTTAATGGTGTACTTTTCAGAAGGGTGTAGTTATAACATAGTGTAAAAGAGATGAAATTATATTAATCTAACAAGCTTCCCAGAACAGAATTTCCAAGTAATATTTTAACCCATTTTACGCATAATTTTGCTAATTATCATAATATGTAATTATCGTCTACGTTAATAATTACCTGTCCAATAATAAGCCCATAGGCGTATACATGGAGGGGGGGCTTATATTCGGAATGGCCTGAATTGCGAATGCCTCGCAAGTGGTAACTGTGGTGACGCAATGGTGTAAGTGATATCTTTTTTTGACGAGGTGGTCTGATGTATGATGCAATAGTCTCATGACACGCGTACTACTTCCTGTCTCGCACGCAGCTATGCGTGGGCACAGATTAAATAATACACATAAAGATCGTGTATATATCGTGACTTCAGTTAGTCTAATGATGATTTTGAAATAAAATGGAAATATCACAAACTCATTCTCGCCTTTGTTTTCACTCATATCGTCAGTTTCAAGATGTTAATCTTTGGATTACATTTTGTCTTATGCGATTTTTGGCGATTTTGATTTCAATGATCAAAATGTAACCAAGCACGCGTGGACGCCTACCTTGCAAGTGGTGACGCAATGGTGTAGGTGATATTTTTTGAAGAGGTGGTCTGATGCGTCAGTGGAGATTAGGCCAAAATTTTCGGTAACCACTGAGTAATCTAATAAAATACAACACAACGGAAACTCCGAAGAAAAATATGAATTTCTTCGGAGTTTCCATTGTATTGTATTTTGTTTGATGTATGATGCAATAGTCTCATGACGCGCATACTACTTCTCAGATTACTGTCACCGCACGTAGCTCTGCGTAGCAGACCAGTGATATAACGACACATCATCACAGTATTTCCTTTCAGAACCAACAAAGAAACTCTGTATAAACAAACATGTCAAAAGCGTAGTCAGAAAAGCGAACGCTTTCTCGAGTCTGTTTCGAAGAGAAATGGCGAGACGACGTTCATTCGGCGGATATGAAGAGGACAGGTTTGAAAACGAAGTAGACAGTACATTACTGTGCCCTATTTGTAGTAACGTTTTAAAAGACCCAGTCCAATGCCCAAATGAGCATTATTGCTGCCGCTCGTGTATTGTAAAGCATTTGCACGAAAACTCCGAAACGTGTCCGACGTGTCAACACCATCTGACGCAAGAAACTTTGAGCAAACCACCGAGACTTTTGACGAATATGTTGCAGAACCTCAAAATTCGCTGTGATCACGCCAAGCGCGGTTGTCAAGAATTGATGAAGCTTGAATTTCTTGATCGCCATGTTAAAAGCTGTGGCTATTCACCAACACGTTGTACAAACTCTGGCTGTTCTCAAATCATCAACCAACACGAGAAAGAACGACATGAGAATGAACTTTGTCGTTTTCGTTTGATTGTTTGTGACGATTGTAAACAACAAGTGTCATGGAACTCAAGTCATGTTCATCCCTGCTTCATGAGGAAAGAAATGGACAAATTGGCGAGAAAGAGAGAGAACGATACGAGGGAAATCAAGGATGAAGTAAAGCAAGTGAAGCTGACTCAAGAAGAGTTTATTCAGAATCTGATGGACCACGTTGCCAGACAAAATGATGTCATTGATGATCTATGCCACAGAATGAATCACATGAAAGCAGAAATAGAATGGAATGCAAAAGAAGCAAGCGAACGATGTGATTTATTCACTGGAAGACAGAAGATTTTCGTTTGTGGAGGGAATGACCGTAAGACTAACTTTAATTCCGTAGAGTCATACAGCTGGCCTGCGAATTCCTGGACTGTGGAACCAGCAATGAAGACGAAACGAGCAGGCCCTTCAGCATTTGTCCACGAGCGGCAAATATATGTCAGTGGCGGGTGGACTGGATCCGAGAAGACTGACACTATTGAAAGTCTGAATGTTGACGAGGAGAACTTGGAATGGATTCAGTCTCCTCTCAAAATGCCAAGTAAGTGTAATGGACACAAAATGGTTTCTCACGAGAACAGTGTGATTTTAACTGGTGGACGTGACGGTGACAATGTTTTAGACGGGATTTACGAAATTAAACTAAATCCTCCATACACCTCCAAATTATTAACCCAGATGCTGGAGCCAAGATGTAACCATGGTTGTCAAATTATTGACAACCAGGTTGTGGTTGCGGGAGGAAAGTCATCAAAAAACCTCAACGACGCTAAAAACACTGTGTATGCATATGACCTGAACAATAACGAATGTAAAACCTTACCACCACTGCCTTCTCCTATCACTGATATGGCTAGTGTTAGTTATAAAGGTAATGTAATTTTAATCGGAGGTGTTAATGAGAAAGGTCAAACATTAAACAGTGTAGTAATGTATGATGTGAAAACAGGAAAAATTAAAATGTTACCTTGTCTTAGTCATAAAAGAGCAGGAAGTGCAGCAGTTATCACTGGCAATGTTATCATTGTTATTGGCGGGTATAATCATGAAACTGAAACAAGACTCAGTTCTGTTGAGTGTTTAGATTTAAGCAGCAATGTATGGAAAGAACTGTCACCAATGACAACTAAACGAGGTTATACAACTGCAGTTATTAAACCATTTTCATAGAATGTATCAATTGAACTTTGAGACAAAACTGTTTATGAAGAATACCAACGTAATCCTACAATATCATCATTTTGTACAGTTTGTGAGGTATACTTATTATAAAAATCAAAGACTGTTATTTCACTACTTAATACATAATAAAATGTATTGATTGAACATTGTCTCACCTTTTCTCAAACTAATTTCTACACAATGGTTACGTTTATCAGTTCTAAATTGTTCTCTCTAAAGGTCCAGTAAGGATCATCTCTTATTGATCCAGTGTTACTACAGGAGAAAACCTAAACTAAACTAACTTTATTTATACTGGATAGGTCTATCAGTTCTAAACTGTTCTTCCTAGAGGTCCAGTAAGGATCATCTCTTATTGATCCAGTGTTACTACAGGAGGAAACCTAAACTAAACTAACTTTATTTATACTGGATAGGTCTATCAGTTCTAAACTGTTCTTCCTAGAGGTCCAGTAAGGATCATCTCTTATTGATCCAGTGTTACTACAGGAGGAAACCTAAACTAAACTAACTTTATTTATACTGGATAACTCTATCAGTTCTAAACTGTTCTCTCTAAAGGTCCAGTAAGGATCATCTCTTATTGATCCAGTGTTAGTACAGGAGGAAACCTAAACTAAACTAACTTAATTTATACTGGATAGTTCTATCAGTTCTAAACTGTTCTCCCTAGAGGTCCAGTAAGGATCATCTCTTATTTATCTAGTGTTACTACAGGAGGAAACCTAAACTAAACTAACTTTATTTATACTGGATAGCTCTATCAGTTCTAAACTGTTCTTCCTAGAGGTCTAGTAAGGATCATCTCTTATTGATCCAGTGTTACTACAGGAGGAAACCTAAACTAAACTAATTTTATTTATACTGGATAGCTCTGTCAGTTATAATCTGTTCTCCCTAGAGGTCCAGTAAGGATCATCTCTTATTGATCCAGTGTTACTACACGAGGAAACCTAAACTAAACTAATTTTATGTATACTGGATAGCTCTGTCAGTTATAATCTGTTCTCCCTAGAGGTCCAATAAGGAACATCGCTTATTGATCCAGTGTTACCACAGGAGGAAACCTAATCCAAATTAACTTTTTTATACCGGATAGTTCTATCAGTTCTAAACTGTTCTTCCTAGAGGTCCAGTGAGGATCATCTGTTATTGATCCAGTGTTACTACAGGAGGAAACCTAATCCAAATGAACTTTTTTTATACCGGATAGTTCTATCAGTTCTAAACTGTTCTTCCTAGAGGTCCAGTAAGGATCATCTCTTATTGGTCCAGTGTTGTTACTACAGGAGGAAACCTAAACTAAAGGAACTTTGTTTATACTGGATAGCTTTATATGAGGTGAAATTATGTCAAATCCAACTTTTGATAAGGGAGTGGTGAAATCATAGGGGGGATGTTTGTTTTTGTGGGGCTCACCAGAGTTTGAGGGGGTCACCAGAGTTTGAGGAGTAATTGAGGGGGGTCATGAAAGTTTTAGTTCTGGCAATGTTTTGACCTCTTTAAATATGTTATAGAACATGAAAATTTTGAAATATTATTAAACGGCTAAACGGCTACAAGTTTACAGGAGCTTTGCCTTTGGGGGGGGGGGGGTCATGGGAGTTTTGGTGTTGCCAGAGGGGGGTCATGTAGATATTGAGAGGGAGGTGTGAAATAACGCCCCCCCCCCAAGCCATAAATAATTACAGTAATTACACTCCCTGGTAAAAGAAAAAAATAGCGTGATGATGCGTCGTTATATCGTCCAACTATCTCAGATGGCATTGATATCAAACTATATGGATTAAAAATATGATGTTTACATAAATGGATTAAAAAAATGTGTTTACGTAAATGGATTAAAATATAATGGCATCAACGGAGCTGATTAACAAACATCTTCTCCCAAATGACACCTTGCCCCAGTCTCTCATATAATCGCGCGGTCATTATGGTCGGCCATATTTAATTTTTTGTGTACATGTGTACAAAATTCATAAGAAAATAGTTTCTTTCACAAAAATTGTTCATATGTGATGGGGAATTTCCTATCGAGTGTATGGAGTCGGCTTTTGGGCCGCGAGGACGTTCGTATCTTAATGGTTGGGCTGGATAATGCGGGAAAAACTACAATTTTATACCAACTCAAATTTGGCAAGGTCATTTCCAGTGTGCCAACAATAGGCTTCAACGTGGAAACAGTGTCTTATAAGAATATTTCCTTCACAGTTTGGGACATTGGCGGGCAGGATAAAATACGGAATTTATGGCGGGTTTATTTCCAGGGCTCTCAAGGCATTATATTTGTGATAGACAGTTCAGATCGCGAGAGAATTTCTGAAGTAAAAACAGAATTACTGCGTTTGTTAGGAGAGGATGAATTAGAAAATGTACATTTATTGATATTTGCGAATAAACAAGATGTGGAAAATGCTATGAGCACGACTGAAATTCGGGAAGAGCTTGGTTTAAATGAATTAAAGAAACGATCATGGTTTGTCCAGGCGACTTGTGCGACTAAAGCCGAAGGTCTAACCGAAGGCTTGGATTGGTTGGCCAACCAGATTCAAAACAGACCACGATTGTCATAGTTGATTAAAACTTTAAATATGTAGTACATTTTTGAAATGTCATTGTTGGACGTGATTGGTCTGAAAATTTGGACAATAAATTATGCATTGCTGTCTACATCACTGCATTCATAAATTATCATAATTATATAAAAGTAGTCAACAAACAGACTTCGTCCAGTGATCAAGGGTTTGTTCTGCTATCAATGATTTGATTTATACTTGAGATGGACGAACCATCAAGGTACATTATCCTTCTGATGGATCATTCGTCTCAGTGTAAAGCTCGGATGAAACGAGAATGCATGAGAGTTCAGAGTTGGCAGTCACACGACTTGGTTAGCTGTTCTTAATGCTTTCCCAACACTATCATGGATTCTGTTTAAGTTTAAATTGGAATACTCATCAAACCTTTATTTTGTTAATCTCAGGGGCGGATCTAGCCTCATCAGCAAGGAGGGGTGCAGGTTTTCCATGGGGTGGTGCATGAGGGAGCCTTACTCCCCACTCTCCTCTGCAGTCTGCAACACTACTATCCCAACATTACCATTATTTGAGATGGCCGAATCTGCATGTTCCCTGTTACACAATATCTTTTGTTTTTAAGTTTATATTGGCTTTTTATCACATATATGTTACTGAACAGTTTTCTGTAGCACAATGCAGTAAATTTGCTTGTTAAAGTACAGTATATTTGAAAATATGGCTGTATAACAACCTCGACATGTTTACATATTTAACCATGATATTTAACCAAAGCATTCTGAGTATTTTCTCATGAGTTCACAAATCAACTGAGAATACAAATCAATAGAAGTTCTGCTAATCGCTATTCGAAAAGCAGAAAATGTATGGTCAAGCATTTTTATTTAGGGTGGGGTGTGCACCCCCCCCCTTACCCCCACAGTAGATCCGCCCCTGGCCAAGGCAAATTACAAACCCTGTAAACCCAATGACAAGATATTAAACTCAATAAACTTATGATTTTTGTCATATATCATAAATATATAAAGATGATAAATATTGATATTTCATTAACTTGTTTCTTCATTGATAAGTAATTTCTCCTCTACTAAAGTTGCATTAAATAATTCAATATTCCTTTCCAAGCATTTACAAAATCCTTTAGAAACTGGGAAGAGCGGGAAATCTGGCGTTTTAAATTGCTCTGCTTGCTGTGCGACAGTTTCGGAAGAAGTACAGTCATTTTGTGGCAATGTGGAGCTCCCATCCTCAGAGCTTTGAGACAGTTTATTTGAGTGTGATAGCCAACTTTTATACCTCACAATGGTTCTGGAATAAAAGTGAATATCAGGTTTTGAGCCATCTACACTTGATAGAAGGCCATATAACCAATAGACAATTGCCATTATAGACTAATTTTAAAACTAGGCAAGGAGATGCAAATAAATCACCACAGGTAGAAAGAGCATACTAAAATTAGTAAATTTGCAAAGTTTGGTTGCGAAAGGTTGTAAAATACGGAAAATATAGCCTCGCCAAGCCACCCTTGCAAATTTTGTATACTTTTGTACTAAAATGGTAGCAATTTCCGCAAAAAAATCATTACAAGAACTTTAGCTTTGAACTCATAAGATGGGTCGTTTTTTAAGCCATTTAAAACCCTCGCAGTCCGTGCTTTATCAGATATAAGAGACTCGTCTGTCGGCTCGTGTTTATATCTGATAAAGCACTCCTACTCGTTTATTAAACAGTAAATAAAATTAGTAGTACCGGGCTTTCACAATTATTCTGAGTAGCGGTGGGCTGTGAGGAGCGGTCTAGGAAGTCTTAAAGTCGTCCAAATTAACAAGTGTATATATTGACTAGATAGCAACACAGCTGAGCTCTGGAACCAAATTATAATGTATCACTACTTTCATTCTTCAACAAGATAACTTCAAGATTTACGATGGCGAATAACTAAATTAGTTTAATAAAATACAACGTCGTTTTCGAAAATAACGAGGCTATAAAGTAGACGAGGTTGAGGAAAAATAACTTTGTTTGAAAGCTAAGAGTGGAGGAAGGAGAGCAGAATTGATATTTCAAGTACTGAACAAAGTAACCTGCGGTAAACCTCGTATAGAACACACCAAAGCTCCGGCTTGTCGTGGTCACCATGCTTGCTTTTCAAGCTGGGAGAGTCGGACCTCTACTCAAGATCTTAAAATAATTGAGGAGAAAGAGCTACCTTTACATTGACATCATTAAATGGTTAGACTTTCGCGTCTTCTCGGATGAGGACGTTAAATCGTAGGTACCTCGGATCTCCTATTAATTAGGTAATAGCTTGTTGGGAAATCCACTCACGAATGAGTGAGGAATTCAATAAACTACAAACTATTGCGCAGAGAACAGAATGACCAAAAAATTTCAATTTCTTACCTTTGTCCATGTTCCTGAAAATGTTTCCTTATTTCTTTGTCAAATATCGCGTGCTTCGACTTGACAGAAGCCGTCATTGATGATATAAGATTGAGTATCGCCATTTCATTGTACACACGAGAATTCTCAATTCCTTCCACGGTTCCCCTGTGCTTTTCATAGCCCGCTTCGTTGAAGTATGGGTCTTTACACAAGATCAAAGCTAACAATAAAAATTGTTAACAAGTTGTAACAATGCTGTTATTTTATCAAGTTGCTACAAGGTTGTCACTCACAACTTGTTGACAAATTGTTGAATTGCAGGACGATAACAAGATGTTGGAACAACTTGTAACAAGTCTGTTGAGCTCAACAACTTTGTAGCAAGTTGTCAACAAGCCGGGAACAAGCAGTGCGAACACATCCTGTTGTTCAGCATTGCTACAAGTCTGCTGCAGGTTTGTTACAACTTGTGCGTTTTACGTGTAATCCACTAATGACATACCTTGAATAGACAGGAGTACTTGAAGTAAATTTGATTTCTCAGTCCAACTCTCGCTGTCCCTACCAGACCAGGTGCCAAGCAGACTGGTACACACAGTACCATCCACATACAGATTAGGATTCAATACATTGCTTGTCATGGAAATGAAGAACACCGATGGAGGGGAGGCTGGGTAGTCGGATGGCAGTTTGATATCAAAAAGGAAGACCCCACCTTCGTATGGAGTGTCTTTGGGACCTGAGATAAGGGCAGTGAATAGTTCCTGTATAACAAAAACATCGTTTTTACAGGAGGAAAGTAAACTAAACTAAACTAAACTAAACTAACGTTACTGGAAAGCTGTGTCTGTTCTAAACTGTTCTCGCTAGGTTCAGTAAGGATCATCTCTTATTGATCCAGTGTTACTACAGGAGGAAACCTAAACTAAACTAACTTTATTTATACTGGATAACTCTTATCAGTTCTAAACTGTTCTTCCTAGAGGTCCAGTAAGGATCATCTCTTATTGATCCAGTGTTACTACAGGAGGAAACCTAAACTAAACTAACTTTATTTATACTGGATAACTCTATCAATTCTAAACTATTCTTCTTAGAGGTCCAGTAAGTGAGTAGGGGTGTGCCAAGCTGGATTACGTAGGACGCAGATGAATCTTACCATAGCATTTTCAAAGCCTCGAATCAAGATCCCCGACGGCAAAGATGATCTAAGCAACAACATTTCCTTACGAACTACGGACATAAACTTCCTTGGTTTGTTTGGGGAAAAATTCTTCACGAAATGATCAGCATAATAGTGATGACTTTCGTGGACTTCACTTAACATTAGGAATGCTTCTGCTAGAAAATAAAACGAGACTTGTTAAACGTACAAAGTTGTCCTTCAGTTACCATTATATGAATGTTGTGTTCAGGTGAGGCCAAAAGCTACTGTTGAAAGTAAAGTCTAACTTAGGCGGCAAATTTTACACATTGTCTCTGATGATGTCGTAGACGGACGAAAGCTAGGACACCTTTTTAAACTTTTTACATTTTTATAGTTTTTATATTAAAATTTGCCGCCTAAGTTAGACTTTACTTTCAAGTTAGACCGCCTAAGTTAGACTTTACTAACACACACAGAAACAGTTAAATTCACATATATTTCTCGTCGAATAAAGTTGAAATTTAAACAAATTAAACTAAAACTGGATAGCTCAATCAGTTCTAAATGTTCCTAAATGTCCAGAAAGGTGCATCCTTTATTGATGCAGTGTTAGTGCAGAAAGAAACCTGAACTGAATTTTTTGTCGAGTTTCTGCAAGGGATGACCTCGGTTTTTTCGCGGTTTGTGGCTGTAAAGTACACCGGATTTCGGCATACCTTTTGTAGCCAGAGTTTGTGGCTAAAAAGTACGCCTGTTTTAGGCGTACCTTGTAGCCAGGGTTTGTGGTCAACAAAATTACTTTATCACCAGAAAGCTGTGAACTGAGAGGAATTCAACTACCTGAGGAATATAAGCGAAGGCCCGTCACTATTTATTTCACGCTGACACAATTTATTTCACAGAATTACTTTATACCTGTATCATCGGTTTGATCAACTTGGCTTTCTGTATTATTCGCATTATTCAAAGCTTCGATATCGACATTATCAACACCAGGGCTAGTTGGTTCTTCACTTTGAGGTATTGGAGCATCGCTTGTGATTAAAACATTCGGTCTGTCCTCATTGGCTGGCTCCACGTGTCCATCTTCACTGGCAGTTTCCCAAGCCTCGTTTCCAGAACTGTGTTCATTCCCAGAACTGTTCTCTGATTGGCTGTCTTCGTCTTCACTTTCCACTTTGTACAATTCATGTGGACGATGTTTGCCGGGTTCGCTGTCCCTCTCTGCTGCCCAGTTTACTACCACGTATCCATCAGGATCTACGCATACCACCTAAAACCAGAACATGGACCAATTTACACTAAAATCTTTCTGGCGCACCATCCAAAATCTCTTCATTTTAGCATTATTTTACAGACAAAACACTAAACACACTCTTTAAGTTTATTTACCGCTTGAGAAACGTACAAAAAAATAGAACATATCCCTCAATTACCTGTCCTGCCACACCGTGTAGCTGATTATCCCCCTCGTTCCCACAGTTCACAGCGACGACCAAATCACCCGGATTGAATACCATGTCAACATTTTCTGCCAGGTCGTAGACGCTGACATCATCTTCAGTCCCAAGATCCTCTCCGCTCGTCGAGAACCATCTTATAGCGCATGTTCGGTCAACATCGGAAGAACTCCGTACTATGCCGTATTTTTCGAATTTTACTGGAGGCGAACTATCTAGGAAAGCTGCAAAATGAAAGAAAATATTTATGACGAGACTTTTTGATTCTTCGATATCCTCATGCAATAACGCTGAACCAATAAAGAATCTGGATCTCTAGGGAGAACAGTTTAGTTTAGGTTTCCCCCTATAGTAACACTGGATCAATAAGAGATAACTCTTACCGGACCTCTGGGAAGAACAGTTTAGAACTTATAGAACTATCCAGTATAAGTATAGGTAATCATGCGATGGCGAGTACAATTAGGGATTAATAGTACGAGTGATGTTTGGAAATTTTGCCAAAATTGGACGAGCCGCCGTTACTTGTTTATTATTAGCATGACAAAATTGGATACTTCTCCATGTTAACATCATATATTCTCTCGCCAAAGCCCAGTCCTGCCAGATTTTCAACTAAAATTTGGTGCTTTTGTCCATTTTCATTTAGTTCTTTTGTTAAAGCAAAATTTGGTGCTTTTGTTCGTATTTTCATCTAGTTCCTCTAGGGCAATTTCATTTCACGCTTGTGTTTAAAATACCTTTCCGCCATTTTGTTTGTTGGAGAACGGAGAACAGTTTAGAACTGATAGAACTATGCAGTATAAATAAAGTTGTTTAGTTTAGGTTTTGTGTTCGTCTTACCTCTCTTGTCATTCACAATGTAACCAGGGAAAAATTGATGGTCATCAATATGATAAATTGCGATTAAATCTAAAGTATCCACATCTGTCTCTAACGTCCCATCCTGCCACAAAACATCAGCTCTAGTTTTAGTTTTAATAATTTCCACGCACACTCGATCGCCTGGCTTCACTTTCAAACTGTTTAACTGTTGTTTACGTTTGTGTCTGAAGCGCTTGCGTCTTCGTCTCGTCGATGGTTTGCTGGAAAGATCTTGTTTTGATGTTTTGAGTTTTGATTGGTCAGCTCCGTCTGATTCCACATCGCCATCATCGCTGTCTGACTCATGTGTTGTGTGTTTCGTATCGTCTTCTAGGGTAGTTGTATCTGGGTTATATGAAAGCAGTAACATTACCATAACGCCTGTATTCTAAAAGTTCACTCACACTTACACTCAAAGAGTGGACTGAGCTTCTCTTGAGTGTCAATGCTGTTTTTGAATAGCTGGAGGGTGAGTAGTCACATAGTAAGGTATGACACTAACCCTCCAGCTATTCAAAAACAGCAATGACACTTAAGGGAAGCTCAGATTGAACCTCCACTCATTGAGTGTGCGTGTGAGTGAACTTTTAGAATACGGGCGTAAGAGTCTGTAGGGCATTTACATGTTCATATGACACTAACCCTGACACTCAAGAGAAGCTCAGATTGAACCTACACTCATTGAGTGTGAGTGAGCTTTTAGAATACGGACGTAAGAGTCTGTAGAGCATTTACATGTTCATATGATTAAATGCGCTTTACATCAAGTATCACGCTTACCTAACTACATACTTAGCCTACACGCGTAAAAATTGATCAGGTTGTTGCAACATTGTTCGCTGAACAACGTTGCAACAATGAGGTTATCATGGCTGAACAACGTTGTTCAAGCGACAATCGTTAACAACATTGTTCCAACAACTTGTTCACGCTTGATGAACGAACAATGGTTGTTGCAACATGATGGAACAAGCGTCAACAAGGTTGATGAAACATGCTTGATAAATGTTGTCAGAACAATGTTGTTCAGCGTTGTTCATTCATCAGGCGTCAACAATATTGTTCGAACAGGCATGAACAACATTGATGAAAGAACAAGTTGTTTTTAGTTGTTCGAACAACCGTGAACAGCATTGTTATAAATAGACGGTAAAATAATGATTTGAACAACACGAAAACTTGTTTTTATTGGTTGTTTCGAAATCGCTGGGATGCAAAACGGACGAATGCGACGAATATCACGAGAGCAAGAAATCAAACGGGCTTTTACAGCAAAATAAATGTCATTTAAACTTTGTGTGTTTTTTTCTGAAGATTGAGGGGAAAATACTGAAGAAAATAACTTGGTAAGTGTCTTGTTTTGAGGTAAGGTTAGTTGTAAAAGCTTAAAACAACCCGACCATTTGATTTTAGTCATTTTCATAGTGCAGGACGAAGAAATGCACACGCAAACTTTATAGTACTTTTATATAGGCATTGCATTTTGATATTTTTCTCTATATTTTCAGTATATATGAAACAAGAAACCGCGGTCATACTGTAATAAAAGCCGTAATATAAACAAAACATTTAATTCTCAAAATATTGTTTAAATTTTTCCAGTTACACTCTAAATTTCTGTCAGAGTCTTTTTAACTTTGAAATTTGAATATGTCAAAAACGCTATCATATCATATGTCCTCCGTTCCTTCCGAATCCGTCCCTATTGTTGTTTGTAATTAATTTAAGTTTGATCACTGCTATATATAAACAATTCCTATTGTGTTTTAACAAGGTCAACCAAATACTTGATCAGTTTACACACCAAGAATGATGTATTTACTGCATATAATATGTAATGGATAGATTATAGGTAGGTAGGTAAGAGTGCATACAGTTAAATAATTAGCCATTTCTCATATTTCCTTTTATTTCCTGGTTAAGCAGGTGACTATAATTGTCATGGAAGGTATATGAAGGAGGTAGCTATGATTTTATCACATGGCTATGGGGGATACTTTATGACCATTATTATGCTCACATGTAATTATTGTCTCATTTTTATCCTTTTTGTAGTGTAAACTTAAGTATAAAAATAAAGATTTGAATTATGAATATGTCAGACAAATTATATACAATGGGTGATCACTTGGTAAGTAATTTGTATACCTTTGTTGTGTTCTGTGTAGATGGAGGCTATTTTGGCAATAGCCATGCACTTAGACATAGCATGACCAGTCCATATGTGGACTGCCTATGTCTATTAAACATGATTGAATACCCAAATTAGATTCAAGATTATGATATGTCCCAGGCATGGATCCAAAAATGACCATGTACTGAAGTTATATGGCATGAGCCATGTAAAATATGGTGGGAAACATACAATTGGGGCTGCATCCCACCATAATGCACTAGTCAATTGAAACCCCGACCCCCGGGATAGGGAGGGGAAATTAACATTTTGACAATGTTAAATTTTGGACATTTCCCTGCTACCGGGAGAATATTGACTGTTAAAATTACTGTCCCTATGGCCCCAGCACTAATTTGCAAATTTTCATGACTTGGGAAATTTTCATGACTTGGGAATTGTCCTGGCTAATAAATTGACTTGTTATTTACCCTGTACCCCGGGGGAAATCTGCATTAAGACCGTGTTAATCCACGGCCATTCCCCCATTAATTCCCCGCCCTGTCCCGGGGTTGGGGGTTTCAATTGACTAGTGCATGCATAAACATTGCAAAGGTCCGTTTTGTAAATTAATGGCACTATGTATTTAATCTTAATTTATAGGGCCTGTGAGTTCATATCTGGAATAAAATAGTGGCAAATCTACAGAAATATCACTGCTAAGGAGTGTCAAACAAATTCAGGAGGACTGAAATAACTGGATGTTCTCAGGATGAAAAAGAAATTGTTGACTTTAATTGAATAATCATTATCATTAATGTAAGGTTAAAAATATTGAACATTCAAAAGGATGCAGACAGAAAATTGAAAGTAGGGCCTGAATTTCAGGTTAAGTGATCCAGGAATGGGGTTGGCCCTCTGCAGGCTAAATCAATTGAGGGAGATCCCTTTATTTCAAGTTAAATGATTATTTGAATAAGATGCCATTCAGGCAATAAGGGCCTGGTTAGGTCCATATTTCAATTCAAATTATTAAGTACTCGATTTATCCATCAACAAAACCCAACATTAAAATTTCCATCGAGTGAGATGCAACAAAACCATCTATAGTTTATTAATTATGTTAACCTAATCCATCAATTGGCAATGAGCCTACTTTAGTATTTTATATACTCTCTCTAATTTGCCCATTATATTTATAAACTGACAGTTAATACCATTACTCTTTCACATACTAATAAAATCATCTGGGCCCGGTTGTTCGAAGCCCGTGTAAGCCTTTGAACTACCGGCCCCAGATGATTTTATTAGTCTGTGAAAGATTAATTATTAACTGTCAGTTTATAAATATAATGGGCAAATATATGATTATGTACAAATTGCATGCATGGTTCATAAAATCTCTGTGATAAACTTGCTCCAACAGATTCAAATTCCATCCTGATAATACCTAAATAATAATTATAGAGGTTGCAGTGTTGCACTACCTTTTGCTAAAATACTGCCATTGTTTACCAGTATTTAATATGAACTCAAAAGTCAAAACACTTAACACTATGAAGTATTTAGATTTATAAATAGTACTTAGTATTTTATAAGCCTTAATTGCATATAAAATAGTTTATAGTTATCTTACCTTTGTACTTCTACTGTAATTATCTCTTTAGTTTGTATTTGTTCACTAATCTGTATTTTCTTATTTCAAAATAAACTGAATTTCATATCAAGAAGCGAAGTTTGTCTGTTTGTGTGCTTATTTAAAGGCACAGTTCAGCCTTCTGAGTGATGGTTTTTATGGCGCATTACAAGCCTTTTAATTGAAAAAACTAACTAGGAAAATCAATTAAGCATAAATCAAAATCAGTGAACTCAATGTTAAAAAACATTGTTAAAAAACATGTTTAAAAATGTTAAAAACATTGAAATCACTGATCTTGAATTGTGCTTAATTGATTTTCCTAATTAGTTTTTTCAATTAAAAGGCTTGTAATGCGCCTTAAAAACCATCATTCAAAAGGCTGAACTGTGCCTTTAAATTTATCTTCCCCCCCCTGGAAAATGGCCACGAATAACAGCGTCGAAACAGATTGATATCAGGTTGTTTACGTATTGATAAAACAAGACTGTTCGCAGTTGTTGACAATATAAAACATCATTGATATCAGGTTGATCTCAGTTGTTCCAACAACGTTGTTCAGGCCTTGTTCGTTCATCAGGCGTCAACAGCATTGTTCGAACAAGCGTGAACAATATTGTTGACAACATTGCTGCAAGTGGGCCGCACAATATTGCAGCATCCTGTTCAGAACCAAGTTGCAGCAACTTGTTGACAACTTGCAACAACATGATGATTTTTACGCGTGTAGACTTTTTTGTTTTTACAACAATTGTGGTGTTACTTTCCTAACTGTGTTTATCCTAACCCACCCTGTCAACTTTCCCTGTGGGAGGAAACCGGAGCACCCGGAGAAAACCCACGACTTTCGACAGAGCGTTGACTGACTCTTTTCACATGCATAACTAATTACTGTTTATGGTAATATCGTCCCATCCGTAGCGAGAATTGAACCCACAAACTCAGAGATGGAAGGCGCTTGCTTAGACGACTGTGCCACTAAGCCCCTTAATTTAATTATTCCTAGATCTTTTTAGGAATAATTCAATTAAAAATTTAGAATCGTTACCACAAGCAATGGAATAATCAAATGAGAACAATAGTTGCATAAGAGTTGCTGAGAGTGGACTGGACCAGCTCAAAGTTGATGCGAGTTGACGGTCAAACTCGAGCAAGTGTTGCAACACTCATTGCCTGTTTGACTGAGACTTAACTATATATGTATACTGGATAACAAAATTTTGTTACCTGATGTGACAGAAGCCAGTGATATCGTGACTTGACTGAGTGATGTAACCGAGTCCTGATTGGACACATTGTTTGTTGTTTGTTCACATGATGTCTCGGGTAACTCCTCGCAGGGTTCATTTTCAGCATCACAAGTGCTTGGTCCGTTTACTACTGTCTCATGTTCAATAACCTGTTCCGATGCTTCTATAAAATAGAACTCCATGAGACAACTGTCTGCGTTCACGTTAGATAGCTCTGCAGTGTTTAACTGTTCTGCCAGGTACACACGTAAAAATGCACAAGTCGTAAAAAACCTGCAGCAGACTTGTATAGCAATGTTGTCTCAACAACTTGTCAACAGGATGTGTTCGTATTGCTTGTTCCCAGCTTGTTGACAACTTGCTACAAGGTTGTTGAGCTCAACAGACTTGTTGTAAGTTCTTCCAACAACTTGTTATCGTTCTGCAATTCAACAATTTGTCAACAAGTTGTTAGTGACAATCTTGTAGCAACTTGATAAAATAACAACATTGTTACAACTTGTCGGCAAGCTTGCTACAAGCCTGTTGCGAACACATCTTGTTGACAAGTTGCGAGATTTTTACGTGTGTAGATAAGTAGTACACCACCACTGCTTCACCGACTTTCCTTGCGTTGAATTTCAACAAAATCTTGCGCTCACCTTGGTCACCAAGTGTTGATAAAGCGTCGTTTCCCTCGTCCTCAATATCTTCTTCTTTCACAACGTAAAAACATTTATCTCCAATTTGAACTTGATGACAATGTTGATGAAATACTTTCACTCTACCACAAAGAAATAAAACCGATATTACGTGACATGCAGTGGTGTCGAGTGACGAAGTAAATGTACTTCGTTACTGTACTCGAGTACAATTTTTGAGAAGTGAGCATGTAACAAAGTAAACTTTATCTCGAGTATTTTTACTTGGAACGAAGTCGTTTTAAGAAGTAACGTTTTACTTCGTTATTTTCATTTTGTGGCGAAGTATTTCGTTACTTTCTAAATTTTGTTTAATTTTACGTGATTTATTCCTGATTTAGTTGTGTCTGGGATCTCTCGTTTGTGACTTACTTATAAGCATTATTTATTTAATGGATTTATTATGTCTTCAATAGGGTTTGGAAAGTTGACCATGCTGTGAAATATTGTATAATATAGGTGCGCGCATATAATGCGTGTGCTGTTTTGTATCTTTTGTATGTCAATCCGTTGGAGAAGTCCCTCTCCCTCCTAAGCTCCTACATGTTACAGACAGTAGTACTTTTACTTTTCACTTCAAGTATTTTTTAAGGATACTTTGTACGTTTTGCCTCCAGTACTTTTTACTCTTACTCAAGTCGTTTTATTGTTAATTACTTGTACTTTTACTCGAGTACAAATTCAAAGTAATTTAGGCACCACTGGTTACATGTATTGTCAGTACCTGGTCATATGACCCTACTTGTATTATACAGGATCAGTTCTAAACTGTTCTTCCTAGAGACCCAGTAAGGATCATCTCTTATTGATCCAGTGTTACTACAGGAGGAAACCTAAACTACAGGTAAACTAACCTTATTTATACTGGATAGCTCTATCAGTTCTAAACTGTTGTTCCTAGAGGTCCAGTAAGGATCATCTCTTATTGATCCAGTGTTACTGCAGGAGGAAACCTAAACTAAACTAACTTTATCTATACTGGATAGCTCTATCAGTTCTAAACTGTTCTTCCTAGAGGTCCAGTAAGGATCATCTCTTATTGATCCAGTGTTACTGCAGGATGAAACCTAAACTAAACGAACTTTATTTATACTGGATATCTTTATCAATTCTAAACTGTTCTTCCTAGAGGTCTAGTAAGGTCTCTTATTGATCCAGTGTTACTGCAGGAGGAAACCTAAACTAAACTAACTTTATTTATACTGAACAGCTCTACCAGTTCTAGATAGTTCTCCCTAGAGGTCTAGTATTGATCCAGTGTTACTACTAACTTTATTTATATAGTTCTATCAGTTCTAAACTGCTCTTTCAGTAAAGTGTCATGATCTCTTATTGAAAAGGAAGATGATAATTCATTACTTGTCAATATTTTCTTCAGTGACTATTCTGTCAGGAGGCTGTTCATAATCTTCTTTCTTACACCCAGGAGGAAGAGAACCACACACTTGCCAGTTCACTTCAAGTTGCACTACCTTTGCCTAGAAAGAAGAAAGAATGTTTTAAACCAACTTTATACCTTTCTTTTTATATAGAGGTATAGGTAGATGTTCCACGAGTGTTGATATAACTGTATATCAATACGGAAAAAATGTTTTATATTTGTTTTAAAATATAGCACAAAGAAATATAAAGAAAGAAATTTTCCGACGTTTCTGTGTTGACATTGAGTTATATCAACATGGCTCTTAGCCAATCAGTGTTCAGAATTTACAAATGCTATATTATAAAATACCATCATCATCACCAGACCACCATCACTGCCACCTGATCAATATCACCATTATCACTGCCAATATCATCACCATCACTACAGTATGGTATCATCATCATCACCAACACTACAGTATGGTATCACCATCATCACCATCACTACAGTATGGTAACATCATCATCACCAACACTACAGTATGGTATCACCATCATCACCAACACTACAGTATGGTATCATCAACATCACCAACACTACAGTATGGTAACATCATCATCACCAACACTACAGTGTGGTACCATCATCATCACCAACACTACAGTATGGTAACATCATCATCACCAACACTACAGTATGGTAACATCATCATCACCAACACTACAGTATGGTACCATCATCATCACCATCATCACCAACACTACAGTATGGTATCACCATCATCACCAACACTACAGTATGGTATCATCATCATCACCAACACTACAGTATGGTAACATCATCATCACCAACACTACAGTATGGCATCACCATCACTACAGTATGGTATCATCATCATCACCAACACTACAGTATGGTATCATCATCATCACCAACACTACAGTATGGTACCATCATCATCACCATCACTACAGTATGGTATCATCGTCATCACCAACACTACAGTATGGTATCATCGTCATCACCAACACTACAGTATGGTATCATCGTCATCACCAACACTACAGTATGGTACCATCATCATCACCAACACTACAATACCACCATAACCATCACCACTATCTTCTTACTCACCTCTTGAACAACAGCTTTGATTTTACTCTGATCAACAAGGATTGGTTTAATCTTGGTCAACCACTTTGCATCATTAAACGCCTGAGCGGGCCCAACCACAGACTGGCTAGGGTAGAATGCTGAGTTATAGAATGGACAATCTGAATCACGTTTGTCCAAAGCATCAGAAAACAATTCAAGCATGTCTCCTTCAATTGAACATCTAGAAGAATTAAACTTTTATCATTGATGACTTTCAGTGATTACATTTTAATAAATAGTTCAAGTTTCCTCCTGTAGTAACACTGGATCAATAAGAGAGTGAGTGACATAATATTAGTACTGATGAAGATCCAGGCTTACGGATCGAAAGCTTTGCAGTAATAAATTTACGTGGTGTTTCCACAAACAAAACTATTATATTTTATCGCCATGCAAACATACAAAGAACTTAGTAGAAATATAATTCTCATTGTTATTATAACCAACCTTGAACCATTTTTCAACCACATCACAACACGACTGTATTCCTTGTAGATATGTCCAACCCAAGGCCCAAGAGACACATGTGCAAACTGAGACAAAGGCTGATTGGAAAAATGAATATATTGGACATAGTGATTGGTCAAGCATCCAAAATGAGGCGTAATAAAAATACCTACAGGTGGTTCCGGTTTCATATCGTGAAAAAATTAGGGTCGGTAGGTCGGAAATAATTTTTTTTGAATATTTTTTTCATGGTTTTTTCAATAATTAGTGTGACAACAGACGCCATTTTGGCAGCAGTCCATAACCACCCGGGGAACATAGGGTTGTACGGTCAATCATGTTGAAAAAAATAATAGGGTCGGCAGAAAAAAATAGGGTCGGTCGAGAACCGGAACCACAGATATTTTTTTAACACCGGACATAAAATAGTTGTGGACACAATTGGTCTCAGAGGATGGAAAAAAATTCAGTTCTGTGAAGATCTGAAATTACCTGGAGTGGTGAAATATGTTTTTTACTGTCTACATTCTTAATTATTTTGTCTGTTCCAAGTATACAAATATCTGCAGTAATCTGAACATCCTTGATATATCCTTTCAGGTTTGGTTTTGTTGCATGTCGCACCACATCACCTGGCTGGAGACTTCGATCTATTAATTCCACCTGAATAAAAAAACAACCTTCAAACCAAACTTTGCCTCACTGTTTTAAACTGTTCTCCCTAAACTAAACTAACTTTATTTATACCAGATAGTTCTATTAGTTCTAAACTCTTCTTCCTAGAGGTCCAGTAAAGATCATCTCTTATTGATCAAGTGTTACTACAGGAGGAAACCTAAACTAAACTAACTTTATACTGGATAGCTCTATCAGTTCTAAACTGTTCTTCCTAGAGGTCCAGTAAGGATCATCTCTTATTGAACCAGTGTTTATACTACAGGAGGAAACCTAAACTAAACTAACTTTATTTATACCGGATAGCTCTATTAGTTCTAACTGTTCTTCCTAGAGGTCCAGTAAAGATCATCTCTTATTGATCAAGTGTTACTACAGGAGGAAACCTAAACTAAACTAACTTTATACTGGATAGCTCTATCAGTTCTAAACTGTTCTTCCTAGAGGTCCAGTAAGGATCATCTCTTATTGAACCAGTGTTTATACTACAGGAGGAAACCTAAACTAAACTAACTTTATTTATACCGGATAGCTCTATTAGTTCTAACTGTTCTTCCTAGAGGTCCAGTAAAGATCATCTCTTATTGATCAAGTGTTACTACAGGAGGAAACCTAAACTAAACTAACTTTATACTGGATAGCTCTATCAGTTCTAAACTGTTCTTCCTAGAGGTCCAGTAAGGATCATCTCTTATTGAACCAGTGTTTATACTACAGGAGGAAACCTAAACTAAACTAACTTTATTTATACCGGATAGCTCTATTAGTTCTAACTGTTCTTCCTAGAGGTCCAGTAAAGATCATCTCTTATTGATCAAGTGTTACTACAGGAGGAAACCTAAACTAAACTAACTTTATACTGGATAGCTCTATCAGTTCTAAACTGTTCTTCCTAGAGGTCCAGTAAGGATCATCTCTTATTGAACCAGTGTTTATACTACAGGA